TGACACAGTGTGGTGCCCCCCCCCCAGTGTACAGTGACAGTGTGGGGGGCTCCCCCCGGTGTACAAATGAGAGGTTTTGGTGTTCACCCCCGTGTACAGTGACCCCAGGTGGTGCCTCACCCCAGTGTACATTTAAACAGGGGGGTGCCTCCCCCCGTTACAGTGACACAGTGTGGTGCCCACCCAGTTAAAAGTCACAAAAGTGAGGTGCCTCACCCAGTGTACAGTGACACATTGTTGCCTCACCCGGTGTACAGGGGGCACAGTTGGGGGTGCCTACCCAGTGTACAGCGACACAGTGTGGGGCCCCCACCCCGTGTACATTGAAAAAAAGGGGTGGGGCCCACCCAGTGTACAGTGACGCAGTGTTGTGCCCCCACCAAGGGGTATAGTGACACAGTGTGGTTTCCTCCCCAAAGTACGTTCCCCAAAGTGTGGTGCCTAATCCCGTGTACTCACACAGTGTGGTACCTCACCCGTTTACATTTACCCCAGTGTTGTGCCCCACCCAGTGTACAGTGACAGTGGGTTCCTGTCCCGTGTTTCAGTGACACAGTGGGGTGCCCAAAAAGTGTACAGTACACAGTGGGGGTGCCTCATCTTGTTTTAAAGTGACGTGTGATGCCCCCCCAGTGTACAGTGGGCACAGTGTGGTGCTTCACCCAGTTTTAAAAGGACACAGGGGTGGTGCTTCACACAGTGAAAAGTGACCCCGGGGTTGGGGCCGCACCCCGTGAAAGTGACACAGTGTGGTGCTTCCCCAGTGTACATGACACAGGTTTGGGGCCTCAACCCATTGTACAGTGACGTAGTTGGTTTCCCCACCCAGTGTACCGTGGCACAGTGTGGACCTCACCCAGTGTATAGTAAAAGGTGGGGGCCCCACCCAGTGTTTAAAATGACACAGTGTGGTTTTTTTTCCCGACCCCTGTTTTAGTGAACAGTGTGGTTGGGCCCCACAAAAATGTACGTGACATTTTGGGGGCCCCCCACAATGTACAGTGCCCGTTTCGGTGCCTCACCCCCGTGGTACATGCCCCAGTTTGGGGGGCCTCACCCAGCGTACAGCGGGGAAAAGTGTGGTGCCCACCCAGTGTACGTGACACTGGTGGTGCCCCCATCCAGTGTACATCACTAGTGTTGTGCCCCAACCCCGTGAGTGACAGTTTCTGTGCCCCACCCAGTGTGCCCTCACACAGTGCGGTGCCTCACCCGTGTACAGTGACACAGTGGGTGCCTCACCCTTTTAGAGGGGGCCAGTGAGGTGCCTCACCCCGTGTACAGGGGACACATTGTGCTGCCTCACCCGGTGTACGTGACACAGTGTGGTGTCCCCACCCCGTGTAAGTGACACAGGGGGGTGCCCTCCCCGTGTACAGTGACACATGTGGTGCCTTTATCCAGGTACCCGTCACAAAAATGTTGTGCCTCCCCAGTGTAGTGGGGAAATGCTGGCCCACCCATTTTTGCGTCACACAGTGCGGTGCCTCACCCCGTGTACAGTGACACAGTGGGGGTGCCCCACCCAGGGGTACAGGACACAGTGTGGTGCCTCATCCCGGGGTACAGTACACAGTGTTTTTGCCTCAAACCCCTGTAGTGACAGTGCTTTTGCCTCCCCATTTTGCAGTCACACAGTTTCGGGGCCTCACCCAGTGGGGGCAGTGGGCACAGTGTTTGGGGCCTCAACCATTGTACGTTGGGTTTCCAAAAAATGTGGGATAGCTTTGGGGGTTGAGGCTGGGCTAAGGGGAAAAGGAAAAAATTTTCACACGCTCAAGCCCAAACCGGCCACCCCGGACATCCCAGACAAAACAGAAAGCCCTAAAAATGGTTTTTTGTACTTAAAGGGGGTTTGGGGACCAAGGGTTAGGTAAAAATCCCAATTTGGAAAATATATTATTTTTGTCACCATAACATAACATAAAAGAAAAACCTTAAATCCTAAAGCCCAAATGAGGGTACAAAGCAACAGCTTGGCATAACCACTATGCCTCGTCCCGTGGCCCGGCCCACAACTCAACTCCCAACTTTTTTTCTTATTTTTTCCTTTACTCCCCCCACACACCCCGACCAGTCAGAGCCCGGGTGAACATAAGGGAAGCCATATGAAAAGCCCATGGCTTGATTGGAAAAACCAAAAAGAGTGCACAACTACAAACTTATTTTAAAAACACGCATCTCCGACGCCGCCTCTACACAATGACGTGTTTAGAGGCACTACAGTGCACCTACAAAAGGGGAGGCACCAAAACCCCTGTCATTTTTACACTTGGTTAGGGGACTACACTGCACCTTACCCGCATACCCAAAACATCCTTGGAAAATAAACATTAACAGAATTTCTTTATAATTTTCAGTTTTGAGTATTTTCAGTCCTCCCCAAAGCACATTAGCCCAAATTTTAAAATTTTTCTTTACAACTATTAAAATTCACATTTTTATGGAAAACTTCTCCCCTATATTTAAATTTCGTGTCCCTGCAGGAAACCCGCCAAAAATAAAATGTTACGTCTGACACTTTTAATATTATTTTCCGTTACAGTCCCCGAAATTGTTTAAAATTAAAATGTTCAGTCTACACTTGAATATTATACATGTTACAGTCTGACACTTTTAATATTTTTACATTTTTACGTCTGACACCCTTTTAATATTATACATGTTACAGTCTGACACTTGTTTTTTAAATTTTACATTTACAGTCTTACACTTGTAATATTATACATGTTACGTCTGAACTTGTAATATTATACATTTTACAGTCACACTTGAAAATTTACATGTTACGGGCTGACACTTGTTTAAAATTATACATTTTTTAAAAGGGTGACACTTGTAATATTTTAAAATGTTAAAAGTTGACACTTTTAATATTTTTACATGTTACGTCTGAAAACTTGTAATATTAAAACTTTTACAGTCTGACACTTGTAATATTATCATGTTTCAGCTGACACTTGTAATATTATAAAATGTTACAGTCTCACTTGTAATATTATCATGTTACGGTCCCGACACTTGTAATATTATACATGTTCAGTCTGACACTTGGAATTTTATACAGTTTTAAAATTGACCCCTTGTTTTTATTTTACATGTTACAGGGCCCAACACTTGTAAAATTTTTTTACATGGTTTTCAGTCTGACACTTGTAAAATTTTTACATGTTACAGTCTAAAACTTGTAATATTATACATGTTACAGTCTAACCCCTTGTAATATTTTAATGTTACAGGGCTGCACTTGTAAAAATTATACATGTTACCCGTTCGACAATTTGTTTAAAATTTTTCACATGTTACAGTCTGACATTGTAATAATTTTACATGGTTTTCGTCTGACACTTGTTTAAAATTCACTTGGTTTCAGTTGCACTTTTTTATAATTATAAAACTTTATATTATTTTTTTCAGATGTTGGGGGAGAAGAAAGGGGGACAGGGTTTAAAAGTCCTTCTTCTACTGTTAACAGCAGCGCAAAAGCAAAATAACACAGCAGCAAAAAGCAACACTAACAGCAAAAGCAACAGCAACAACAACCCAAAAGTAAGAGCAGCAAAAGCAACAGCAAAAACTTTAAAAAGCCCGGGAAAAGCCGCAACAGTAAAAAAAAAAAGCAAAAACAACAACAGCAGCAGCAAAGTAACAGCAGCGTCAAAATAACAGCAGTACAACAGCAGCACAACAGAAACAGCACCAGCACAACAACAGCAGCAAATAAAGTAACACCAGCAGCAGCTTTAGCAGCAACATCAACAAAAGTAGCAGCAGTAGGAAAAAGCAGCAGCAACAACAACAAAGCAGGCATCAATAAAACAGCAGCAACAAAAAACACACAGCAGCAGCCCGTAACAGCAGCAGCAACAACAACGGCAGCAGCAAAACCCAAAAACGCAGCAACAAAAAGCAGCAGCAACAGTAAACCCGCCCGCAACAGCATAGCAACAGTAAACCCGCAACAGCAGCAGCAACAGTAGGGAGAACAGTAACAGCCAAAAACAGCAGTTGAAAAGAAAAAGCGCAGCAACAACAAAACCCCGTAACAAACAAAGTTTAAAAGCACAACAGCAGTAGCAACAGCATCAGTAACAGCCGCCAAAAGCATAGCAAAAGCTCAGTAACAGCCCGCAACAAAGTACCCAAAACTGGGTCTCCTCAAGCTCCTAACATCACAGGGACAAGTGGGCATAATACACTATGGCAACATCAAGTGTTTAATTTGGGTGTAGACTTGTCAAGGCTGTTAAGATTTTGTGCCAGAAATGTCTTGTTTTAAACATTTTTCCCGGGGGAAACCCCAGACAAACCTCCAGTATGACGCGGAACATTACTTTAAAAAATATTTAAATTTTTCCAAATAACATCAAAAACCCTTTTAAAAAACAAAAAGGGGATGATTAACAAAGTTCCCGATGGATCAGATTTGATGTGTCACTGTTGTATCTTAGCCCTCAAAATCGCCGGGAAGCATGGGAGCTCCATTCAAAGAATTAAAAAAGGTTTTTCCCAAAGGGAAAGTAATGAAATTTTCAAAATTACTGCAATAAAGAAAAAAAGGAACAATGTTTTTTCATGGTCAACTTTCAGTTACGATTTAAAAATATTTTTGAAAATAAAAAGAGAACTACGGGAGTTTTAAATAGTTTCTTAAGCATTTGGAGGAATATGGGGGGAGACCAGGATGAAATGAAGCAAAGGGGGTCCCCAAAGATTTAATGATGGGCCTGGACCAATTAAAGAATGGGATTCTTGGAGAGGAAAACATACTGGTTATGGTGGGGGAAAGCTCAAAAACTTTTATTAATACAGTCGGACAAAAATTAAAAAGAAACTTCCAAAATATCAGCTTTCGTCAAACCCCGGGGTCCCTTTTTTCACTAGTGGGCTTGAAACTTAAAGTAGACAAAAAAACCTTTTTAAAATATTGAGGGGAAACATGGACAAAGTGGGGGTCAAGGTCACATATAAGTTATCAACACCTTCTTAACCTTGCTCAGACTACAGCAGTACCAACTTCTACAAGAAGTGTCTCACAACAACAAGGTACATCTACTCCCCCACATATAATATTGGTTGAAGGTGTTGCTGGCAGTGGCAAGACTACTCTAGTGACACTAGTAATAGATGAATGGACTCAGGGAGGTCAAGGTAATATTAGTGACTTAGATAATTACGAGCTTCTACTGTGGGTACAGTGCCGGGACCCAACAATGACCTGCTACCAGCAACTCCTGGACAGACTGATGCCAGAAGTTGCTATAAAATTCAAGGATATTCTTCAGAAACTGATGAAGCTTTGCAAGATCTTAATTATAATTGGGCGCCTTGATGAAGACAATGAAAGTTCTAGAACACTAGTCCAGAGTCTATTGCAAGAATTTAAGTACTGTTCTAATATTGCTTTTCTGTGCACTTCACGACCAGAAAAAGTTGAGAACTTTAGGAGAACAATCCCTGCAGAGTATACTGTGCAACATGCAACACTACATGGTATATCTAAGACAAATGTGGAACAATTCGTGCGTCTGAACCACCAGGAAATAACCAAACAAACAGGGAATAACACAAATACTGAAGAACTTGTAACAAAGTTGAGGAAGTTAGAAAGACTTCACGAACACTTAAGACTACCAATGAATTTGATTCTCATGATATACATCTGGGACCAAGAGCCTGACCAGCTAAACTTAACATCTGTCACTCACACGGAGCTATATTATAATATTCATCAACTGTGTAAACACAAGTTAATACACAGACTGATCAACCATCAAGATACAAAGAATATGGATGACAGGAAATTAAAAGTTAACATTAACAATGTTTTGATAACAATATACAAGATAGCGCTAGAAAGTCTTTCAGTTGATCAGTTAAACCTTGAGGAAGAAACTGTAGATAAACTGCTAACTACCTGTGATGAACTGTGTTTACCTTATAAAGAAGTGTTGTCAGCGTTCCTTTGTTTGAGACCAACATGGACGATGCTGGGGATCAAGGAGCGGTACTCAGCTCCTCACAAGGGTATACAAGACTACTTCGCTGCTCTCTATATTGTCAACATGCTTAATAACCCACAGTATTCTACACTTACATCTGCCTCAGCTACACCTGCCTCAGGTACACCTGCCTCAGCTACACCTGCCTTAGCTACACCTGCCTCAGCTGCACCTGCCTCAGCTACACCTGCCTCAGCTACACCTGCCTCAGCTACACCTGCCTCAGCTACACCTGCCTTAGCTACACCTGCCTCAGCTACACCTGCCTCAGCTCACTCACTCGCTCAGCTACACCTGCCTCAGCTACACCTGCCTCAGCTACACCTGCCTCATCTACAACTGCCTCACCTGTCAGTGTCAAGGGAGTGTTAGAAAAGAGCATCAGGTCAGGTGTGGCAGACATGAACAAGTACCAGAATGTTTTGATACATGTGGCTGGGCTGTTGCACCTGGTACTAGACCAGATCCCTGAGACACCTGCACGGGAGGTGGTTCAACTCCTACAAGAGTCTGGTATGAGAGACAACGACCAGTGGCTCGAACTCCTTGACAACACTAACATGTCTCCAGTAATTGTCAAACAAATATCGCACTTACTCAATACTGAAAAAACAATTGAAGTAAGTGATGAACGTGTGAGAAGCTGCGTTGCTCTCCTGCCTCACCTCAGCTCCTGCAAGGTGGAGATTAACATCCTGGATGACCCAGGTGACCTGCCTCACCTGCCTGACCTGCTGGCTGCCCTCACCCACCACCACTGTACACAACTGCTACTGTGGCACCACTACTATAATGCTGACACAACCACCACTTCCGACAACTTGCTGGAGCTTCTACAAGATCGGTAAGTTGTTATTATTGTTAATAATGTTACTGCTCATGATAACATTATCTTAACATTAATGTTAATGTTAACAATGTTACTATACATATTTGACAAAACGATCTTTATCCTAACATTATTCTAAATGTTCATCATTACATTAACTTTCTTTTAACATTGAAGGTGTTAACAGTGTTGTTTCTGGTGTTAACAGTGTTGATGGTGTTAACATCTTGTTGGTGTTAATATTGTTGCAGATGCTAATATTGCTGAAATGTTAACATTGTTGGTTTTAAAATTGTTGTTGGTGTAACAAACTTGTTAGTTTCAACATTGTTGGTGTTAACATCATTGTTGGTGTTAACATTGTTGGTGATAACATTGTTGTTGGTGTTAACATTGTTGTTGGTGCAACAAAGATGTGTTAACATTGTTGGCGTTAACATTGTTGTTGGTGTTAAGATTGTTGTTGGTGTTAACATTGTTATTAGTGTTAACATTGTTGTTGGTGTTAACATTGCTGTTGGTGTTAACATTGTGGCGGTTGTTAACATTGTTGATGGTGTTAAAATTGTTGTTGGTGTTAACATTGTTGTTGGTGTTAACATTGTTGTTGGTGTTAACATTGTTGAGGTTGTTAACATTATTGTTGGTGTTAACTTTGTTGGTGTTAGCATTGTTGTTGGTGTTAATATTGTTGTTGGTGTTAACATTGTTGATGGTGTTAACATTGTTGTTGGTGTTAACATTGTTGATGGTGTTAACATTGTTGTTGGTGTTAACATTGTTGGTGTTAACATTGTTGTTGGTGTTAACATTGTTGTTGAGTTAACATTGTTGTTGGTGTTAACATTGTTGGTGTTAACATTGTTGTTGGTGTTAACATTGTTGTTGGTGTTAACATTGTTGTTGGTGTTAACATTGTTGTTGGTGTTAACATTGTTGTTGGTGTTAACATTGTTGTTGGTGTTAACAATTGTTGGTTGGTGTTAACATTGTTGGTGTCAACATCGTTGGTGTTAACATTGTTGGTGTTAACATTTTCGTTGTTGTTAACATTGAAGGTGGTAACATTGTTTGGTGTTAACACTGTTGTGGTTAATTTGTTGTTGTTGTTAACATTGTTGGTCTTAACATTGTTGGCGTTAACATTGTGGTTGGTGTTAACATTGTGGGAGTTAACACTGTTGTTGGTGTTATCATTGTTGTTGTGGTAAACAGCACAACATTATTAGCTTGGTGTTAATATTGTTCATGTTTAACATCATTAGTGTAACATTGTTGTTGGTGTTATCAATGTTGTTGCTGTAAATACTATTCTTGTGTTAACATTGTTGTTGTTGTTAACATTGTTGGTGTCAACATTGTTGGTGTTAACATTGTTGGTGTTAACATTGTTGGTGTTAACATTGTTGGAGTTAACATTGTTGTTGGTGTTAACAATGTTGTTGCTGTTAAAAATTGTTCTTGGGTTAACATTGTTGTTATTGTTAACATTGTGTTAACACTGCAAGGCTCCAGGCGGACATCAACCAAATCTTTCAGTGGGCTCCCCAGAAACAATATGAAGTTCACAAATGAGAAATTTCAATTACTCAGATATGGTAAACATGAGGAAATTAAATCTTCATCAGAGTACAAAACAAATTCTGGCCACAAAATAGAGCGAAACACCAACGTCAAAGACCTGGGAGTGATTATGTCGGAGGATCTCACCTTCAAGGACCATAACATTGTATCAATCGCATCTGCTAGAAAAATGACAGGATGGATAATGAGAACCTTCAAAACTAGGGAGGCCAAGCCCATGATGACACTCTTCAGGTCACTTGTTCTATCTAGGCTGGAATATTGCTGCACACTAACAGGTGAAATTGCTGACCTAGAAAATGTACAGAGAACCTTCACGGCGCGCATAACGGAGATAAAACACCTCAATTACTGGGAGCGCTTGAGGTTCCTGAACCTGTATTCCCTGGAATGCAGGCAGGAGAGATACATGTTTAAATTTACACCTGGAAAATCCTAGAGGGACAGTACCGAACTTGCACACGAAAATCACTCACTACGAAAGCAAAAAGACTTGGCAGACAATGAAAACATCCCCCAATAAAAGCAGGGGGTCACTAGCACGTTAAGAGACCATACAATAAGTGTCAGGGGCCCGAGACTGTTCAACTGCCTCCCAGCTACATAAGGGGGAAATTACCAACAGACCCCTGGCAGTCTTCAAGCTGGCCTGGACAAGCACCTTAAAGTCGGTTCCTGAGCAGCGGGGGTGTGGCTCGTACGTTGGTTTGCGTGCAGCCAGCAGCAACAGCCTGGTTGATCAGGCTCTGATCCACCAGGGGGGCCTGGTCACAGACCGGGCCGCGGGGGCGTTGACCCCCGGAACCTCTCCAGGTAAAAATCCAGGTAACATTGTGGTTGGGTGTTAACATTGTTGGAGTTAACATTGCTGATGGTGTTAACAATGTTGTTGCTGTTAATATTGTTCTTGTGTTAACATTGTTTTTGTTGTTAAACATTGTTTGTGTAACATTGTTTGGTTAACATCGTTGTGGGGTTAACATTGTTGTTGTTGTTAACATTGTTTGGTGTTAACATTTTTGGTTGGTGTTAACTTTGTTGGAGTTAACATTGTTGTTGGTGTTAATAGCAGCAACATTATTGTTGGTGTTAACATTGTTGTTGGTGTTAACATTGTTGTTGGTGTTAATATTGTTGGTTGTGAAGGCTTACTCAGCCCTGAAACAACTTCAGACAGTATTACCAAGACTGGCTCCTCCTCAAAGGAAAAAATTTTTGAATAGAAAAAGAAATAATAACAGACAAACATAAACACTTTATTATATAGAAAATATAAAATATAAACACTTAAATATGAAATATTAATCTTACATTAAAGAAAAAGAAAAATGAAAAATATAAATGATAACTGAATTCAACGCAAATATATATAGGGGTGTCTGGTGTTGGTGACACTGTGTTGTTGAAATCGTAGCAGTTGCTGATGATGGGGGGGTCGAGGTGTTGGTTACGACCCCCTGGCTAGTTCTTCACAGTATAGCCTTGAGTATTATATCCCGATGACAGGAAAGCAGGTTCTTTACCGCTGCAATTTATGAGGGGTTACGTCCTGCAATTTCATACAGGTGCACAGGTAATTAAAATCCAAAAAGGGGAAGTCTCAGGACGTTAAACCCATCTCCACCAGTTCTTCTCGTTGATTGACAGGTGACCCTCTCTGTCATCCAAGCTGAAAAGATAGACAGGTTAAACCCCCTGCTTAAATAATCACTCTCCATTATAAGTACAATACCTAAAAGATGTGGTGATTATTACAACAGTCAACACAGAGCAAGGCTGAAAAGACTAAGTTTATTATTGGTCAAAAGTGGAGCTTTCAACCCATAAATCCACTAGAATACAAGGCAGGCATGTACTTACAGTAGAGCTGGGAGCTGTGAGTCTAGTGATTACAGTTTGGACCAGAGCCCCACACGTCACCTTTCGGGGGGGGGGGGGGAGGAGGAGGGGAAGGGATAGCGGGAGCTGGACTGACCCTACCTTAACAAGCAGCCGGCAGTCAAACTATCACTTTCAGGGTGGGGGAAAAAGGCAGGAACAGCGGGAGCTTGACTTACCCTACCTTAACAAGTAGCTGGCAATGAAACTATTGTTACTATATACTCCCTCGCTACTCCTATCTATTGAACTTTTCCCTCACACTCCCCCTTACTAAGACTTATAGTCAAGGAGTGTAAGAAGAATAGGCGAGGAAAAAGTTCTAACATGTGGAAGTCGCGTAAGGCAACAAATCTTCTACTGACTGTCCCGACTTAACCAGTCAGAGAAATAATTGGATGAACCATTGATATACACAATATGGAACTTAAAATCCTGGAGTGCCAATGTCCACCTCAAGAGGCGACTGTTGGTTCCCTTAAAAGTTTCTAGGTATATCAAAGGTTGGTGGTCTGTTTCTAAAATGAATTCTTTTCCCAGTAAATAAAATTTAAGTTTGGGGAATACCCCACACAAGGGCTAAACATTCCTTTTCTATTGTGGAGTATCTTGTTTCTGCGGAAGAAGTTTCCGGCTTAGGAAGCATACAGGGAAGGGAGTACCATCATGGTATTGTAGTAACCCCGCACCTAAGCCAGTATTGGAGGCAATCATTCTTAAGCAAAATTTTTTAATTAATATCTGGAATCTTAAGTATAGGGTCTTTCGAAAAGATACTTTTAATCTCATTAAACTTTTTCCCGAGCTACGTCGGAAAGTTCAAGAGGTTCCTTCACAGATTTTTTAAAGGGAAGTCGGATAAGATCCCTTTGTAAGATCAATAAGGTTCGTGATAAACCTTGCAAAAAAATTTTAAACCAGAACCAAGAAAGCTACGCATGAGCTTCTGGTTTTTGGGGAAATTTTAAAAATTCTAATAAAGCTTTGATCTTACTGGGGAGAGGCTGCAGAGAGTTATTAGAAAGTATCACCCAAGATATTCTAATTTTGTTATACCCAAGGAAGCATTTCTTCGGCTTGGCAGTGAGGCCATGTAGCATAACCTACGCAAAACTGATGTTAATGTTTGGATATGTTCGCCCACGTAGATGTCATTACGTAAATGTTTCAAAATAAACTGAAACATTTGGCACATTCCCCAAGACCTTTCTCATCAGTCTCACGTAGGTAGCACAGGCAGTTACCAAACCGAAGGGCATAGTTCTTATTGCATCAGTCCTTGGTGTGTAGGAAAAGCAGTGTACTGCTTAGAAGAAGGATCTAACATTACTTGATGATATGCCTGTGCAATATCAATCTCTGAAAAGAAAAAGCGTCATAAAATTTGTGTAGATCGCTATTATTAAGGGCATAGGCTCAGCATCCCACCGAGTTATAGCATTAAGGCCTCTGAAGTCAATAGCAAGTCTATATAAATAATCCTCCTAACCATGACTACGGTGAACAACATGAAGATACGAAGGTTCAATGATCTTTAGTTTTAATAATTTGTC